ACCTGTCGATATTATACAATACTCAGAGACTATCCAGATAAAGTTCAAGGTTTTAAGACAGCCTCATGATGTCTTCTATGCATCTTTTAGCATAGCTCCAGTTTGTATATTCTCTCTTTCTATGGTTCGCTGACAAGATGCTGAATACATAGTTGTCTCCAAGCTCTCCTTCTACAGTCTATGTAAGAAAGCTTAGGGTTCCCTCATCTGGATAAGTGAGATTACCCCAGCTATGGTGTCATAGGGCTTTCCAGTGTCTATACTAGCATGAGCTCATATCATCTGCTTCTACGTGTTTCTACTGACAATCCGAGAAACCCTGGATATCCTCTCAATGCCAACCCGTGGTATTGGCCCATTCTAGACTCGTCCACTCGCGAACGTTCATTCCTGCATTTCACACTCTGCCTCGAAAAAGTAACGGTGAAAAACTACACTGACGGCCATTCATCCCCTAAACCTAAAACCCAGAAACACCATCAGGAAACTCTTCAAAAGTCATGATACCACCAGGCCCCATCACAACGGAGCCTCGTAAGCCATTGTTTACCGCTCCTTAACGGGTGAAATTATACCCGTCATCGAGGAAGAAACTCACACCTGGAACACAAAATGCACCGGGTATGTGGAGAAGATTGTTTCTGTGGATGAGAAGAGTTCTGGGAGAGTGATTGGAGTTGAGGTGCCGAAGGGTTGCTGGTTAAGACAGACTAAGCTTTTTCTCTTTGGGGTGCATTAGTGTCAACATTAACATTGGTCTTTTAAGAGTCGTGTTATATATTTGTATATATACAGTATCCATTGGGAGAATGTACTACGCAGCTACAGAAGCACAGGTAGTATATTTCCCAAGAGTGAAATTTCATTCTATACCATGCATTATCATACATTCACCAATCACATCATCATGCGTACCAAGTAGGTGGACCAAATCAAACAAAGCATGGCAGGTATCTCTCGCAAGATTAGGGAGAAAATGAAAAAGAGCAACAGTTGAAATAACATAATGACGCTCCAGACGCCACGCTAACAGCAGCATAAAAAAACAAAAAAAAAAAAAAAAACTTTTCTTTTTGGAAAGAGTCGTTAAGAAACGCTCAAGAAAGGGGTATTGAAAACTGCAAGGGAAGGGAAGAATGTAATTGTTTTCCTTCAAGGAAAACGAATTTACTCCTCATCAGTGCCTGTTTCGTCACTGAGACCATCGTCCGATTCGAAATCGTCAGCCTCACTATCGGATTCATCCTGGTCATCACCAGGGATACCGCGCCAGTGGATGTAGTCAGCTTCCACCCAGTGCCGGCTGCGGGGGAGCTGATATGGGTCGAATGGGAAGTATGCGTCGAGTTGATAGCCGAGATCATCACCGGCACGAGTCTCTCGCTCGACTAAGCTGAATCGCGGGTCTGCTAGGGCGGACAAATTCCGGAAAGATGTCATGCGGATTCGCTTGTTCGTTTCGAGAATGCTGAATACGTACATCAAATTCAGGTGCTGGGACATTCGTGCGAACTCTGATACAATGGCGGGCGAGCACACTTTAAGCGGGTTCAGCTTAGAATAAATGGTCTGGTGGAGGGCCTCCTTCACCATTGGTGGGAAGGTGATGTCTTCTATCTCAAGCTCGTCTACTTGCTCGATACTATCGCCCTCAGTTGCGGCAGTGGTCAGGTCCCGCCAGCGGAAGCAGAAGATGTAGAGTAGGGCCTGTGCGGTGGAGTAGAAGGGGCCGTAGCGGCGGAGGTCAGGACCCCGGCAGGAAGGCTCATAGAGGTCGCGCAGATCCCTTAGGTGTCCGCCTAGCAGACCAAAGACATCTCGCACAATCTCACCAGAGATGTGTGCGCCCCGGGCAACAAAACTGGCAAGGTAGGCAGCGGCAGATTGACGCGTGATGGCTGGCTGCAGCTTATTGAAAACGATTTCGATGCATGCCGTGGTAAAGCGATCAACAAGATCAGGGGACGACTGAGAGAAGTGGAAAAGGAGGAATTGGGAATGGCGTGAGCGGTAAGTCGGAAGGATAATGCTTTGGAAGTGGCTAAGTAGGAGATCGAGCGTATTCTCCTTATCGTCCAAGGTGCCGGAGGTGAAGGTCGGCGCGTAGTATTCAAACAGAGAATCGATCATGCCATCCAGCTTGAGAACGTTATCTTTGACCGTCTTAATCCGCTGAGACTCGGTGTCTATCGAGTCATCGCTGGCAACCGATGCATTGTCATCGTCATCGTCCTCACTAAAGACAATGGTTCCAGGAGAGACAGCATGCAGAACCTCTTCTTCCTCGTCATCATCAAGATCGTCCATATCCACCTGAATCTGAACGTCGATCTTGACGAGTTTTTCTGTGAGGAGAGCAAGGATGTCCGCCTGCAGCTCTGGGGCATAGCCAATTACTCTGATGAGGTTTTGCGTGTACGCAATGTTGGCCTTTGGAGAATCGGTATCAAATGGAAACTGCATGGACAAGACTGGCGACAATGATCCGCTACCGGACGGAATCAAATGCACTATATGACGAAGAGCCATGTGGACCCGGGTGTAGATCTCCGGCACGAGGACGGGAGCATAGCCCGGCAGCTTGCCCGTGCCCTTAGGAAGCTCGCCTAGGTAAGTGACCAGCATTTTGAGCACCGGTCCTAGATAGGTTCCCTGAGCGGCCGCAAGATTACCTAGGAAGCGAATATACAACTTAACGTAGGACTCGTCGCGCCCGAGCCATACACTGTTCAAAACAGCGTTGACCAGCCCGTTGCAGCTGCGATCCAAGGAAGCCACGTTTGACAGAAGGCCCAGAAGATGATATCTTAAAGTCGTATGTGTAGGTACATCGTAGGAAAACATGCTATCCTCTTCCCCACGCCGGGGATCCACTGAGAAGATTTCTTTAATGCGGTCGTAGGCCTCGCTGTCGGTGCCTGAGATATGCCGTTGAATAGCACGGCGCACCTCCTCGCGAACTACAGCCGCACTCTTCTCTGGGGCCCCGGTGTTCCCTTGCACCCTTTCATCGAAAGAAACCATCTCAACATCCTTGAACTGCACCCGAGCCCGCTTCCTCGGGCTGGGGAGCCCCTCACCATCGGACGAACCAGAGGACGAGGGGGACAGGGAAAGATTCATATCCTCCATTTTATGTTTTATACCAGCCGTGGGTGTCTCCTTAGCGGTTTTCAAGATGGGAACAGGAGAAGACGTCGCTAGCATCTTGGAGCGGCTAGGCTGTCTGAGTCCCGTTGCTGGGTTGCGCGAGGGAGTGGCGAGGGCGACCATGATAGGTCAGCAGGAATGTTCAGATATGCAGCTGGAAGGAAGGGAGATTTTGTCCGATGCTCGTCATTTATTGGACCCCAGAACTCTCGCTATAACACAGGCCGAGTATTGGAGAACAATGAACGTAGAGCACACGACACCGCCAGCGTGGTCAAAACTCGAATGTTCCGTTGATGCTACAGGTGATAGGCGCACTGGGAGTTAATGGTGACCTAAGGCAGCCCCATCTGTCATCTAACACACACACAATCGTAGCAAGCAGTGCGTTAGACGTAAGCAGATGAAAAGGAAGAGCTGGTCTTACGAGGGACACCGAGGCGGAGAAGCCTCCTGCTTGAAATTTTTATTGTGGGGCGTTAGTGGAGCTTATCCCCGTGACCAGCGCGTGACCGGCGCGTAACCGTGCACCACTCAGTGCCTGATTGGGCAATATGGAAATGGCTTACTACTCGCTACGTACTAGTACAGAGTAGTAATGGCATACATACGGAGTACTCGGGGTAGACTTGTAGATAAAGTGGTTTAGGACTGCAGGCATGGTTTCTAAACCTACGACGATTAAAAAAAAGGAAAACAAAAAGGTATAGAGATGAGACTCATCATCGGTTCCTTCGATTTCAGTACCATAACATAACCCATCAAGAAAATACAATATGTAAATTGAAACATAGACCACAAGATAGCAGAAAAAAAGATTCACACAAGGAACAGATCCTCTCCCAATGGTATAAAGCCGGTAAAAAGAACAAAAATAACAGACGAGTTCGTTAAAGAGCGAATATTAGTAGGTCATAACAAACGATGAAGAGATAAGAAGATCCAGTTCTTTCCCCTTCCGGTCGACATCATCGAGCCGTTTCTGCATGACAATGAAGTTTCATAGCCACTGTCCGGAAGCAATCGGACCCATTCGATCGTCAAAGATGCTTCCGTAAAGATCTTCAATTTCTACCAGGTATTCGTCCACGGTAAACTTCATCAGGCCTTTGTTCTGCAAAACAAGCTCTTCTTCATCGAGCACACGAGCGCCACCAAACTCTTCCACAACCTCATTCACTTGCTCCAGCTCCTTCCCAAATGGGTGTGGTTCGGGATTGGAGTATTCCTGCGCTGGGCGAATTGCAGGACTGCTGCGCACGGAATTTAATGGAGGAGGCGATAGCCGAGAGATGGAGCGCTGACGAGCTAACTCTTGGTGGGAGCGTTTTGTGTGGGAAAGCGCCCGCTTGGGAACCAAGGGCGCATCTGTAGACGATGTGGTCGATGTAGAGGATCGAGGATAGCTGGTCACAGTCGCTGAGCGTTTGGGGAAATATGACGATAGAGGGTTGGGCTCCACGGGGGAGTCGCTGGGTGTTGTGATGGGCGACCCAAAACTCTGATTCCCAAAAGACAATTCCGAATCATCAGGAGATTGGAGGGATGACGTAGATGACGATCCCGCTGAATGAAGATCAGGAGCATTGTAGGCGAGCATATTCGTGGTCGACAACAACTCCACCGGTGCAGAGATCTTTCCCCGATTGATGGTTCCAGCGGAGAATTTGACTTGTCCTTCCCGGTAGGGCATTGGTGCCGATACCTCGGGGCGCTTGTGGCGCTTTGTAAATGCTCGGGTCAGTGAGGACATGGTGGTGGTTCCGAGAGTTTACAGCGATGCGATATAGTAGTCAATAGCGTTCAGCCAAGGAGCGGGTTGATATAGGTTATTTGTATTGCAGCTGCTATTTTTGATCAATTGTCACGTCAACTGTCACTCTTCCTTATCGAATGGTCCTCCTATTTTTAGTGCCTGTCAAACGTTCGTTTGCGGTACCGATAAAGAATGTGTGGTGGACGATTGCGGGGTTGGCACCAGAAGGAATGGAAAATCAATGACTGGAATGTCCGTTATCAGATATGGATGGTTCGCTTTGACATAGAAGAAGTTCTTCTTCTTCTTCTTCTTCTTTTTTTTTTTTGTTTTTCTGTCTCCGTTGCTTGTCGAAGATCAAAGTTTCTGAATATTCATTCAATGAAAGTCGAGGCGGAAATTCCTTTTTCTTGCACAGCAAAAAAATCGGATGGTGGGAAGTCCGTCTCAAGTGGGTGGATTGGTTGACTCAAGGGGTGGAATAATTGCAGCAGCACTCTGTACTGGGTACTAAATCGGGGCGGACAACCAGGACGCGCCACGGGGTTTTTAATAAGGAAGTGTAAAAAGTACTAAATCAAGGATAGAAGGAGGGAATCCAGGACAAGAGGATGGAATGAAAGAATAAGAAGCGAAATACTTGATCCACGGTAAAGAATCCCCCAGGGAGGAATGGACCAAGAAACGAAGAAACGAAGAAACGAAGAGAAAAGAGTCAAGTGAAGTATGTAACGAGAGGGGAAGAAGAAGAAAAGGAAGGTGAAAAAGGTAGGGGCGGAGGCGAATGCCTTATGGGTGTGTTCCAGGCTTTTTGATCCACCAGGCTGATGGAAACACCCCATTTAGAGTTTTTACCTGCTTGTCCCCTTCAAGGTTATCCAGTCACCATCTGTTCGTCTCGATACTTCCCGCTCTTCCCACGGTTCAGTCACACTCTTTCCTACGGTTCAAACTGTCTGTTCCTTGGTGAACAATAGAAAACTTTCGCTTTCTGCCAGGGGCCCTGATTCTAGTGGATTCTCATGCGTGATTTCAGGTCTTTTTTCAGGTTCGAGAACCTATATGTGATCCATGGGAAACCGCAAATGCCGATGTTGACCCAGAGTACGAAGAAAAGATGGTATGTTTTCTCTCCCCCCGGTACGGAAGTACCCCGTAAGGAAGACCCCAAAAATCAATCAATCTATGTATCTATTAATGGAGAAGTGATTATCTCTGCTGACCTCAGGCAGACTTCTTTGCATGATCCGGTCTTCCGACGGCCAAGACCGCTTGATGTGACTATCCCACGCGGTTCCTTGCGACCTGCCATTCGGTAGATATGGACGATGCGAAGCGCCGGGGCTGCTTTCTCAGCTGCGTGGCACATGTACGACGCAGAGTGATGGCCATTAAATTAAATCATGACCTAACCATTACTACCACTCGATACTAGGTAACCTCTACTTTCCCCCTTCTGAATACCATCCCTCTCCGAGGAGAATATTTGTATCCTCCTTCGACCCGTGTCCTGGATGCCAATATGAGACCGAAAGACCCCTGGTATCTCCGCCCTGGGAGGAATATCTGATGTCCCCGGTTAATTATTTTTTTCCACCTCTCCAACGAAGAAAAAACTGAGCAATCATAACGACCCAAGCATCATCGCACTGCAATGGTCAAGCGACGGTGCCGGAGTTGGTGTCAGGAACGGCAACGGAATGACCTCTCAGGAGCGCCATGTACCATCAGCAGTGGGGATGAAACAACTCTGCGGCCGCCGTGTCTCAGCGTATCGCCAGCCAACCAAAGTACTATTAGTGCTGTGCATGACTGTGGAGTGTGTGATCTACGAAGTATGATAGGTAAACTTTCTTCCCTGTCGTATATTATTGATCAATCCAACATATTTTCAACTGTATACTTTAAGGTAGTATCAGTTTCCTTTCATTCCTTTGTTTTTGGAGGAACCTATTCGTCGCACAGAAGCGTGTCGAGACTCCTGAGCCGATCTAAAATCTGGTCCCGACAATGGACTTTCGGTGTCAATGCGCGCGGGTCAACCCCACCCAGTGGGTAAAACTTAATACACACAGTAAATTGTGGACTTCGTTTACAACTCTTTTTATTGTCACAAGGGCCAAATGAGAGCGGATATATCTCCCGCCATGGAGGTCCTTCTGATTAACGAATTACCATTCCAAGTTAGCCCCCACTGCTACTTTGGTTGGGCTGGTCTCTTCTTCTCTCTCTTTTTTATTTATTTATTTAATTTTTTTTTTGGAGGGGAGTATTTTTTTAACCTTGCTTTTTCTTCCCATGTGGGATTTGCAGATGATCCTGGTAGTACTATAGTACATTAAGAAAGAGAATAACAAAAGCAATAACTGATATTGTAATTCTACCTGTCACTTGCATATTGTGAATTATATCAATTTTTTCTTTGTTTCCATGCCTCTCGTATCACGTTGTCCCCTCTCCCCATCGCTAAGCGACACCGTGACATCCATCGCCAATTCCCGGGTTAACTTAAGTAACTTATTGTCGGCTTTACTCTGGAAAATTGTATCTCCAAATTAAAAAGCGGATCTGATTGGCCAGACGAGCCGTTTCACACTAGGACCGTTTTCGACCAGGATCTGGTCGATCATTGCCGTGTACGGACATGTCCTCCGTTCCCAATTTCGATCACCATTCAGTTGCAATTTAAACCAAACTGGGTATCAACGTTTTCATTGCATGCCAGACGGAAGGCAAACAGGACTATACACACAGAACGGACAAAGAAGCTTTCTACACTGACGTAATGTGCACACAATAGGCTCCTTGCTTAGGATATCTTTCCCCGTTTCTAGGACCTCAGTCTTCGTCCATCGACTCCCAGCCATCCGCACCACCGGCGGCCACACCAACCTCCTGGGCGGCATCTTCTTCATCTGACTCATTCTGGTCCGCCTGCACACCGACTGTGCGCTCCTGCACCTCACCTTCCAGACTGGGCATCCGCGACACGAAAGCCCGGCGGACTGCGGCGTTGGTGGAAGTGTCCCAGATCTGCACAACGCCCTTGCTGCCGGCTACGGCCAGTCGGAAGCTGACCTCCGGATCGGGGGCGAATGTAGTCGAGAAAACTTTGCCCACTTCCAGCTTGCGTGAGACGACCATGCTAGGCTTGTCGTTCTCGACGTTCCACAGTTTGACCTGCTTGTCTGTGCTACCAGTGACCAGGAAGCCCGGGATGGAGGAGTTAATGTCGAAAGCTGACACCGAGTCGTCGTGCGCCTGCAGGGACCACACGGGTTTCGAATCCTTAGGGTTGGCGGGGACGTTTCGCACATCGTAGCGATAGACCATACCGCCATCCGTCGTCACGTAGAAGTAGTTGGGATCGTGTGTATCCCAGCGCACGTTCTCGACGTCTGTGTCTACACCCCACCGGGCCTTGGAGTCGGGGGCTCTCATATCCGCGGCCACCACAGTGCGGTCGTAGCTGCCACTCAGCAAGACGGTAGATTCCTTCGGGTGCCAGTCCAAGGAGCACACCTTGTCGGTGTGGTGGGTGTAGGACTTGGCGCATTTAGTGGTGTTGAGATCCCAAAGTTTAACCGTTCGATCGGCCGAGGCAGAGGCAAGGAGGTTGCGATGTTGCCGGTTCGCGGCCAACGCGAGCACCGCGTCGACGTGGAACTCGTCGTTCGCCTTGGTCTTCTTCTTCTTTGGCTTCTTGGCTTCACCTTCACCACCCTGGCCGAGGATAGCGTTGGGGTACATGCAGTCCACAATATCGAGATCCCAGATCTCGATATCAGGCTCCATCGTTCCAACGGCCACGAAGTTTCCTGTAGTGCGGCCCTCGGCGGTCTTTCCAACGGGCATGTCCAACCATTCAGTGCAGAGAGGAATGGCGGGCAGCATGATGTCATGGTGCACGTAGAGATTGGCGTCCTGGTCCTCGTAGACGTAGACCTCGAGATGCGCGACTTCATCCTCCACCTTGCCCGCAAGCACTAAGTTATCGGTTGGAAGAATCTGCAGTTCCTCTCTCTCTTCATCGTCCTCCTCCGGTGGCATTACCAGGTACGGATCCTCCTCGTTAGGCTGATGGTAAGCAAGCGACTTGACATTGCCGAACATGGTAGTCTTCTCGCCATCCTCGTCGACCTCATCACTGTCGTAATGGTCGAGATCGTATTCCTTCAAGTCGTCGTCACTACAGCTAGGTCAGCTTGAACCATCCAATCAAACCCACGCATGGCCGAAGAACATCCAGACATACTCAGCAGTGGCCGCCTCGGTCTTCTTCCCCGGATCCTCCTCCATCACATCCTTCTTGTCATCCTCCTCCATAGCCTCATCATCATCACCCTCATCCTCGTCCCCATCCTGAGCAGCCTTCAGATCACTCTGAGCATCCTCAAGCTGCATCTTCGCGAGAGTCGAAATCCGATTCATCTCCTCTTCATCAATCTCATACTTAGTCGGCATCTGGGCAGCGACACCCCGTCGCACCCAGGAGGTAGTTGTAATCATAGAAGACATCGTGAAAAGGCAATTATAAAGAAAACAGAATCCAAAATCGTCAAACTTTTAAGGTCGTAAAGAGGCAATCAAATCTATTCAATAGAGAGAATATTCAAAACTTTTCTTTTTAAATTCCGTTAAACAAAAAGTATCATCAAAATTGACCTGATCAAACCAGTGTCAATATTATCCACAAGAAAAGAGTCTTGTGGATTGCGATAGTTTAATAGATCGTCAACGCCGGTTGCTTTTTTTTTTTTTTTCTTGATGGCCCCTCAGTTTCCGCCCGGCAGAATTTCATCCGTAGCTTCACCGCCCGGGATTTGGATTCGGAGATTTCTCGTATGCGCCGCTTTGGGGATATTGATTATCTATAATTCTACGTCCGGTTCATTTTGCAACCTTTGATTGAAATCAGAACTTCTCTCATTTTTAGAAAGCCACGGAAGAAAACCAGATTCAGGATGCATTCCCACCTCCACACACCTTACAATGCCAGTCCGTCACTTCCGTTTCCTGTACACGACTAAACTCCAAACTAACGTTTACTTAAAAACGACAGACTGCGAAGCAATTATGACAGCGTTGGACGAATGCCACGCCAAGGGCTTCCTCCACAAGGCCCTCGGAAACTGCAATGATATCAAGCGCGATGTGAACAAGTGTCTGGCCGCGGAGCGCTACGAGCGGGCCAAACAGAACCGTGATGCGGCGAGGGAGAACCGGAAGCGAATCGAGAAGATCTGGGCGGATGAGAAGGCTTTTGAGCAGGGATTCTCGTCTGCGCCTTCGAGTGTTGGCGCTGAGAAGAAGCATTAGGTTGTATTGTATGTTGATTCATTGATTGATTGCATTGATTGCATTGTTTTATTGGGTGGCTCGATGGCGTTTGGGATCTTCTCTTCTCTTCTTTGTTCTTTCTTTCTTTATTTCTCTCTTTTGGGTCTATGAGTGAGTGTATGATTAGATGGGGGGTTGTGGACTATGCTCGGGATGAATGGATGGATTTACATCGATTGTGTTCATTGGAATATACACTGGGTTAAACTGATGTAATTGTCTTTTACCCAACCGGAACGCCATACCATGAATAACAATATCATTTTCATCAAGCAAGGCACACAGATGGAAACTGCTCACTCCTCCGTCGTAACAGCAGGAGCCACATCGCCTCCATCCTCGCCCTCACTCTTAGCACCGCGGTTATGATGACGTCTCCTCCGCTTCGCCTTGGGCGCAGAATCACCATCTTCCGTCCTCTCCGTAGACTCCTTGCCTTCTCCATCCTCCGTAGCCTGCCTCTTCTTCGCAGGCCCAGCCGACTCAGTGCCCCTCTTCTTCGGCTTCTTAACACTTAAAGGATTAGGGCCCTTCACCTTCTTAAATCCCTTCTTCTTCTTCTCCCCCTCCCCACCCCTCTTCGGAACCGCATCATCATTCAACCCAGCCCTGAACTTCCCACTCTCATATCCATCCCTCAACTCCTCACTCAACGAACTCATCGGCTCTAAAACCATAACAGACCGCTTCACATAAACAATCGGCACACCAGGAATAGCCCGCGCAGCGCTCCTAAACAACCTTGACTTTCTCAGCGCAACCTCAGCCTCATCGACACCCCGCTTCCGCTTCTTGTCGTTCTGCGGCGCAGCCTTGGGCGTCGCCGGGTCCGCCGTAGCGAGGATATAATGCTCCTTATTCCGCTTGACGTCTGCAGAAGGCGAAAGAAGAGAAAGCAGACACTCTGCTTCGTCGATGGGGGTGTTGTCTTCGTTGTGGGAGCAGTGGCGCAATGGGAGGACGGTGGGCGGGGGGAGTTGTGCGGGACGGACGGGGTTGTTGGTGCGGGGATTGATGGGTTGGTTGGCCATGATGGCTGCTAGGGAGCATTTTGTGAGGACTATATATCGTGTCTTGTTAGTGATTATCTTGGGAACAAGACCCGGGGTATTGGTCTTTTTGGTTTGGTAGGTGGGTTGTGGTTGAGACGTACGAGGCTTGACTTTGCCTTGCAGTGTGCGCTCGAGGTAAGGGAGTAGCTCCATCTTGAATGAGTGTACGGCGTTGAGGAAGTTTGAGTCCACTATATTGATTTATTAGGTGACTTTCTTTGATTCTGAGATGCGCTTGGTTGCGGCTTACGTAGGACTTGGTATGGTTCGCGGAAGCCGAATGCAAGCTCATATTGGTGCATGAGCTTGCGGTACTTCTTTGAGCGTTTGGCCCTCATTTTCGCGGGTAGGTGGCGATGAGGGTATTAGAATTGAGGGTGTTGGGTGGGAGTTGTGTTGGTGATTTGCGTCGATCGATTTTCTTAGATCGAAACTTTTTTTCTGATTTTGCCGGGCGGAATGTTGCTTTGGATGTGGTCCGTGCATTATCTAGATTTGGGGGAGCTTTTACGATATTCTAACAAAATTGATGTAATTTTGAAATATAGAGCGAATATGAGTATTGAAGAAAGAAAAAAATAAAATAGAAATAAAAACAAAAAAATAATAATAATAAATAATATAAAAAATAGGAAAGAAAGGAAAAAGAGGGCAGTATTGTCTAATTACATAGATCGTAGGTTCAAAATATCTTTACCATATGCAAATCATTCCCCTCCAGTTATTGACTTGCGATGGTCAATGTGCATATGTCCATAACCTCGTGTCTTTGGCATTAATGTGCATGCCTTCTATATTAATGCTTTTATTCTCGAGGGCGCAGTGCTTTGATGTTTGGACGCTTGGTGTGACATGATACGGTTCGGCATTCAACCCCTAGGTGGAGTGGTAATGGGCAGCTCCCGGTTCCACTAACGTATTGTAGTCCAACCCTTGAGGAACCGATATATGGCGTCGGACGCGTCAGGATGAAGTCTGCAAGCGATATGTTTCTATATGTCACTTGGTCTTCTAGTTGAGGCTTCATAGCCTATTGCGTGCGTCCGGTTCAAGAAGCTCTCCTCTTGCAGGAACCGACGACCACGCTAATGTCATCCATTTTTCCTATTACAAGTCAATCAGCTGCTCACTATATTGCAAGGAGTCTACTTACCCCCCTCAATAGCAAGGCCCTCTTCAATTGCCTTCTCCATAAATGGGCTCTCAGCGAACGGGTCCTGGGCAATAGCCAGCGCGGATTTCAGCAGCTCTCTCGCCACGAATACCATGCGTTCTTCTGCCAGTACCTCAGGAGGAGCCCACTCAAGGTCTGTATTGTCATGCCGTCCCTGGTTCCACTTCTTGATGCCCTCGAGCGTAATGGACAATATTTCATGCTCCCAAAGATTGTCTAGGACGCCGTCGGACACAGCAAGTACGAGATCATCCTCCTCCAAATCGACTTGTGACAGAACCGCATCCTTCCGCGGCGTATCCACGCTGTTGGTCCCCAGCTGCATGGGGCAGTCGAACCAATGCCATTGTTCCTTGGTCCGAAACAGGATCTTCTCCTCGCTTGGACGAATGACCAGCAACTTGCAATCGCCTATATTAGTCACGTAAAGTAAAGGCTTTTCCTTCCCCGTATCATCGCACGTCCAATGTAAGATCGCAGTTACGGATGTCGTTGTTCCGTACCACTCGCTAGGGGCGGTCGTTGCGTTGATGGTTTCTTCGTAAGCACGTTGAAGGTACTCGACCGGATCCAGCGGCGCATTACTATCAACTCCTCGTTCGACTTCTAGAGCCCAAAAATGTAGCAAAAGCCGGGACCAGAGTCTATCCGTGTATAAAAATGAGCATAACTTATCCTAAAAAAACCAGAGAGTAAAGAAAAGAGACACTCACCCAGCATGACCTCGTGGCTTGGTAGCCCATGCCCCTACGCCATCGTCGACCCCGAGGAAATTATCTGCAACCAATACCGCATCGTCACCGTTGTTTAGCCCCCTGATTAGTTCGCCCTTGACGGATAATCTCTTATCCTGACTGTGGTAGTGGGTAGTCAACGGGTCGGAAAAGGACGAGGACGGCGGGGACAGGAACGGTGGGGGGAAGGGGCGCGAGGGCCGTTTGGCGCAGAGCGCATACCCCGTCTGGAAGCAGAATGGAGACTTCCTAGATCCGGAACTGGGGAACTGTGGAGGACGATCCGGCACGGGAGTGGTGATGCCGTAGGACGGCCAGGTAGCACGGTTATATCGTCGCACCCCGGTTCTGGGTCCTCTGAAGTTTGCGATCCACTGTGGATTTCGCGACAACGGAGATGAAAAAGAGGATATTAATACAGTCGCCGAAGTCGATACGGTTTTGGGCACCATGCCCGCTAGAACTGTTTTCTTTTCTGTGGTAGGGAGATAAAAGTTGCGCTGGAGTCTTGACTGACCCTCTTTCCGCGCACGATTTACCTAAGGAAGGAAATTTATTTTTCTTTTCTCTTCTTCCCGGTTTGCTGGGGCAATATCATGCTGGGATCTAGCGATAGTAGCGGTGGAATGATCGACGTTTTTTTTTAGATCACAGGGTTACGTTCATTGAGCCAGTGAACATTTAGACACATAGCATGCTGTGACTAATAATAACCCTTCAAGATTATTTAGTTCTGTCAAAAGTTTGGCTTTCTGTTGGTGTTAGGGACGTATTTTATTTACTTACATGTTCCGAGTGTTACCGCGTACATTACATCCTCGGGCAAGGTACCGGTCAAGGTACAGCGCATCACAGTACAAGAATAGTATCTTTGGGGCAAATATGGGCCCCTAAAGCAGCTTGTAGTTAGTTACATATCCCTGATCGTCCTCAACGAAGTCAAATCATGCTGTGAGTCACCCTACGATCTCCTAATCCGTACGGAGTAGTAGAACCTGGTCTCATATCATCCCATATCCCCTCTTCTCCCCACCCTCCCCCAAATGAAACAATCAATGAGTATCATCCCATATCAGAACTTCGATCCTCACTCGAGGACTTCACCCCATTAGCTTTGAGAGGTGTTCGGCGCTGGGCTTCAATCTCACTGTCCACTAGTGAAAACGCACGGTCCAGCTCTAACGCGATTTCAATATCATCAATATCCCGTTTAATCAATGAAGCGCATTCGAAGACCGCCTTTGCAAGACTGCCGCATCGGGTAGCGAAGTCGCGTGTTCCCGGAGCCTTGCGACATTTCGCAAGCATTATCTGCATCATACGGTCTGCGCAGGGGCAGGGGCGTTCAGGATCCGAAGTACATTCCCAGGAGCAGATGCACGATGAACGACAGATGCATTTTCTCTCCTTCATGTAATCACTCGGGCGACGTCTCTCGTCCACGCGTCTAACATCTCCGATGCCTTTGCCTTCCATCTTGGCGAAAGCCGACTGGCGGTGGTCCTTGACGAGCTCACGCTCCCAAAGTTCCGGATCGACACTGTCGCGGTCAACGAATGGAAGATCGGAACCAGTGACTGACAGCACAGCCTCCGGTTTTGGTATGAAAGAAAGGTACTTCTCAGATTGAACTGTGAGGATCTCCTCCGGCGGTATCTGATATAAGAACGTGTCATGGTTCCACTTCGAACGAAACTCAGATGAGATGTCGCTCACAATTCCCATAGTGTAACGGCGGTATCCGAGTAGGTCGTCGAGGAAGAATCCTGTGCCAATCGCCCTCTCCATGGCGCGGCGGATGAACTCATCCTGATGAAATTTGATGAGATCCTCATTGACATGGTTGCAAACGGTTGGCGCTTCGAGGGTGTCTTTGCAGTGCGCGAGGATCTTCAGCAAATGATCGGGCTCTGGGAGGGTAAATCCATCCTTGCGGGGTGTACATCGGAGTTCCAGGTTGAAGTAAGTTGATAAGTCGACGTTCGCGATCTCCATTATCAGTCTCGCATATACGGAATAATAAAGACTTTCCACGGCCTCAATAAGATCAGTAATCGAAGCGGATGTCACAATTTCTTCCGCACGTCTGATATGGACCGGAACGCTGTCAGGAATGTCTTCCACCTATGATCGCAGTTAATTCAGATACCGCGACACAGGATAGCACATTGATCTCCGAGCGCACGGCCACGTACCTCGATTCCATAGTACTTGAGAATTGTGACGAGGATCTTAGCAACGGTGTAGACTTTAGAGAAGACCGACAGCACACTGTGGAGCCAGTCGGACGCATCGTCATCAGTCACATCTTCGAGGGCCCTGACAGCTTCAGAAAATATGTTCCACTCGGGAGAACTAATAGTATAGGGAAGGGCAGGGCGCGGAATTGGCGCCATGAGCTTTTGCCTTGTCAGTTCCAACACAATAAGTCGAGTTTCAGGACAGTTGACTTACAGCAGATGAATATGAAGCCTCTGTGCTATCGGATTGGCGAAATAGTAAAGCCTCTCGTCGTCTGTTTTCTTGCTCCAGCAGAGCCTGGGAGTACATGTAAAAGCCATCAGTGTGTTCGCTGGTAGTGGATGACTCGAATGACAGAAAAGTATTGCGCTCATCTGGTCTCGATCGCGATGCTCGCCTGGGGAAGATCTTGTTCAAAGCAGAGTCCCAGAAATGGGATGCAGACCTGTATCTCTTCATACTGGCGACTCGGTATTTTGAGAAGGGTTCATTTGGCAGTGCATCGACGTGAGGTTAGGTTTGAAGATAATCATTCGAAGATGAGATGAGAAACCATCCAGAAGCGGTGGGAGGAAAGATGCGGAGTGAAGGGATTCATACTCCAGACGGTGAATGTATGTCTCAAACATTGTCGGTGGAGATGGAGAGATAGTGGTTGGTGTTACTGTCCAGTTGGAGGGGTGAAAGCGTGAATACGGAGGGTGTGTCAGGGAAAAAAGATAACAGCTCGAATCCAAGTTCTGTATCTGTTCTTGTATGTATCTTGTGGTGCTCGGCTTTTGCTTCCATATCTGCTCTTTCTAGGATGTTTAGGTAGGAGCTGAAGATGAGTGAGTCTTGAACTTTCTAATCTTTGCGATATCCAAGGAAGTCGAGAATCCCAAGCCGCCTCTATGAAACAAACAATGCCATTGTCTACTTATAGATGTTTGCCATCTCACCAACATTGACCCCCAGTTGTGCAACACAGCAGGACTATCCACAACCCATAGAATCTTTATGAAAGTAGTACACATTACAGAGAATCTAACGCACATCATACCTTCTTCACTATGCTGCTGTGTCTCCATGGACTGATTGGATAACAGACCACCATGTTTGCCAATAGGACTACATATCTATGAACTCCCATGGGTTTCAGCCAGTGTAACGACTAGACATAGCGCCTACGAGTGTGGAGGCTGCCCTGTAGCCCATAGTTTACAACTGCTCGAGGTCAACACAAATGATTCAGTACTGAAATTTATGCCCTGATATAAGACGATAATAGCTGCGTACATGCGAAGAAATTTGAAGCATTGACTACATTAGGGTAAAGATAAGAACAATTCTATCGATCAATCGTCAAAAGCCATGATATCGCTAAACGCCGTGGTTCTGTGTGACCATGAATGCAACAACTCCGGGAGATGAATGCTAAGAGAGAAGTGGGTATGTATGAATAGATGGGAGGAAAAGGAAGGAAAAAAGATAAGAAAAGATATCATCACGTCGTAAAGGTCACAATCAGACAGACAAGTAGCAAAACTATAAAAAGGTAGGGTCAACCTCGATTGGGGTGTCCTCTTCATAGTTATAGAAAGGCAACGTAATATCTGGGATTTTCCAGATCAACTTGTTCGCCCTTTCAACATACTCAGACGGTATATTCATGCACTTGCTGAAAGAGAGGGACTTCAGGAGCCATGTGCTGTTAGCCTCCTATTGCAGCTGCTATTCATGGGGATGAACTTGACACTCACTTTCAGATTCCTCAAGCCTCTCACCCATTCAAGGCCACTATCACAAACTTCATCTGCAAAATCTTCATGGTCATCAACAGGATGAGTGAGGATCTCGTGGCAGTTCTCTAACCAGAGAACCTCAAGTCTATCCCCCGGTGCATATCCGTTATCCGTTTCTGCCGGGTCATCCGGATCTTGTTCCATACCTCCCAGCCAATTCAAGAAATCAGGCTGTGCACCGTGGCAGGTTTTTAACTTCAACACCGTAAGATTAGGGTTCTTCTTCACAAGCATTGTCAACTGCCACGGCGTGATACCGGAGCGCTCCAGTATCAAGGTCTGCAACCCAGAAATTCCAACATGCTTGTACTTTCCTATTCCAATGAGAGGGTTCCATGCAGCGCTGCATGGAGCGGGATATCGCCAGGTGCTTGGCTTGATATGACCATCTCTGATGTGTTGATGTTCAAAGCGAAGTGCAAGGTGACGCAACCCATACTGGCATCTAGTACCTAGTGCCATTGCACTCTCGATGTCGATATCGTACGCCATAAACTCGAGCTTTACGAGTGATGGCCCGTAGCGGCTCACTACTCTAGAAAAGATCCTGTTCTGGGTTCGAACTATGTGTTCCTGCATCACTGACGGATCCGTCGAGCATCGGAGTTTCGCATCCTTGGTTTTACTTAGATGTTTGGAAGGCGGCGCCTGTTTTCCCGGCTTGACCTTCGGCCGGATAATGGAGATAGTGTAATCTGACCCGATCTCCCTTTCGATAGGAAAGGCTTCACCCAGTTTTTCGCCCACTTGATCTGCCTTAATCCAGCCCGCCTGGAGACAAGATATTATGGAATGGGTTCGCTTCTCGAAGACCCCCAACCGTAGACATCGGAGGCAGAGAATGTGCGATCGGTGATTGGTGCGACACGTCTCCCCAAAAGCAAGCACTGACTCAAAAGGCAGGTACGAAAGAATCTGAAGGATTATCTCCAACGGGAGAGGACTGAGTCTGTCAGACATGGTGGGCTTGTATGGTGACTTCCGGATATCTGGGTCTGGCTCGGACGCTTGTTCTTTTAAATAATACGAAGCATTAGTCACGTAGCTTCTGCTGGTCCTAGGGTATTCTAGCAGGCAAAAGGGAAAAGGAACTAATGATTAGAGAAGGAAAGAGAGTCTGGGAGGAAGGTTCGCAAGGCTGCGTTAGTCAACGATAGGAGTGTTCGAGCATCGCAAAGAGATCAACGATAAGAAAGACGCGGGCTATAGTAGTTATTATGTGAGTACAAAGCCAGCAAGTGAAGCAGGCATGATTTGTCAAATGCCTCAGGGTGAAGAGATATCAATTCCCTATCATCGTATGCTTTCAAGGGATAAGAGCTTTCTAATTGGCAAGACAGCGGCGTTGCAAGGGCAAAAATAAAATTTAGAATAAAACAAAAGGGAAGAAAATTACATGAAGGATCGTACGGAGTAGATATATTGAATTATGTTAAATCAGGTATTTCCGAAAGGCAAAAGGGCATCAAGAAACCTTTGGAGACATCAATGTTCATCATGGCTCCAGAGAAAAAAAAATGCAACTTACAGGTCAACCAATAGTTGTATAGCCCGATTTGTACAACTGAATATGCCGAGTTGTGATATTTATTGTTATTCCAAGAGCAGAATCTAGTTAAGGGCAATGCCGTCCATGCAGGGAAGAAAGTTTGATATGAGGCAGCACAAACTTGAGGGAAGTAAGCCCGAAGAGTGAATGCACGGTGGATCAACTTCAGGTTAAGTGATGTCAAGTAGCTGCTGGGCATTGGAATCCATAGGGATAAATCGTCCCCAGTCAATGATGACCGCCCTCTGCTCCGTACCGTAGGCACTTCTTACTGATGGGCTAGCCACATGAACTCCCAACTTGGCCGCATACCGCGATCGACTTTCCAAACCCCTGCGATGTCATTCACTTCCCACAGGTGGTAAATACCCCCTCAAAGGTCGGGAAGGAAGTAAATATGCGGAGACAGCGAAGTTTGGGGCAAAGAAATTCCTAAAAGGTGATGATTGGGTGCCACCAAAGTCGTTCGTGGTAGTTTGCCTGCTGGATAGTAAACACCGCATGAATCAGTGGACGTACAGGAGACACTTTAAGAGGCAGAGTAACATCCTGCGAGCCTCGAGGTGGTAATTTTGATTTATTTTCTTAGTTTCTTTTTCCTTTCCCCGCTAGACCCATAAATCTTTTCTTTCCTTTTTTTTTTTTTTCTTTTCTTTTTCCTTTTCTTTCTTAATTAAAAAATATACTTTTTTCCGTAAGCTTCTTGGGGCGCCAAGAAGAGTCGATCCTGAATGTCGGAATTAGAAAAAGCAATTATGATGTGTTATTGATTTTTTTTTTCCCACTGCATAGAGCCTTTGTAATAGATTACCCAGAAGGTTCGAGCCAGCCGCTTTAAGAAATCACCTTGTCCTCCAGAACCACAAGCATTCCAGAGTTGGACAGAGCTATGCTGCTCTAGGGAAAAGGATGTATCCGCCGTTCAGCCCTCCTTGCAGTGGGGGAGGTGACACACTACCAGATCCCCGGTACCATCGATCCAATTGAGACCTCTGAGCTTATCCGATATAGTAAGACAGGGTGATCATTCTGCGTATTCACTATGCACTAGTTTGTTGTACCGCCAGGGGGTTGGTGGTTTCACTTCCCCAATTTTCGGACATCCCGACGATCCGTTATTGGCCCCCAAGAGGTCCTTGCTTTTTTTTTTCTAGCTGAAAGAGGTCCGAGCTGATTGCACCGGTTCTGCGGTTAGTGACACCGAGGGTTCGGTCACTGCAGTGACACGAGTCATGCCCCGCGTTCTCGTCGAATCCCAAGGCTCCGTAAAGTTCAATGCTCCATGCAAGTTCTCCCAGAGGGAAGGGTCGAGAAGTCAAAAAGGTCACAACGACGGAAATCGAAGGGACAGAACATTGAGATGATCGTTACCGGCCGGATGGTTTCTGTTTGTTTGTTGGGCCTATGGCAAGAGGTAGACGGCGGTGAAGAAGTGATACATCACAATGGGCCTATACCCACTGCAATTTTACCAGTCGAGTCACGTACTCTCTTCACAATCCTCTTTTCGCGGTAAGTTTCGTTGCTTTTTCCTACTTCTGTCGGGACTTGGATCTCACCGTGGATCATCTCCGTCAATCATCTATGGTGTGTCCATCAGACAAGTCCACGATCTCTACCCGCAATAGCTTCCATATGCGATTTGCAGGGGTTTCACTTCACGGGTGTTGCCTGTCCGGCACATTTTGATCAGATCGGACGGCAACTTGCAGGAGTCTTGTCCTTGGCCGAATGGAGAACAAGCACTATGTGTAACAATTTTTGATATTATCGTGAGTGGTATGACAGCCGAGTGTAAAGAGTCCAGGTAAGAAGATTTTCTCTTCCTTTCCAAGTCTTTGGGTCGTCTATATACATTCATGGTTCTGCAGAGAAATGGAACAGTCAATCGCCTAATGGCAACGACCATTATCGCCACAACCCTTCTTAATCACCTCCGGAGCCTGCGATGTATCTAGCCTGCAGAAGCAAGATGCCTTGATAGGGACATCTGCCACAGCCAGCGCCAGCTTTAGTGTAGGTTCGATCATGGCCGCCTGTTCCATTTTTCCCAACCGCACCAAGCATTCATGATAGCCTTGAAGAGACCAGACATTGTTCGGATGCCGTCGGGGCCGGATGAGAGAATTATCCAACCCAAGGTCCGCCCGATATACATTCTCTGCCTTCTCGATTTGGCCCTGTTCCAACATAAGGGCAGCGTAGGCATGCCGAGTAGGCTGCATCCAGGCCCAGGGTTCACTATACGGAAGTCTATCATCCAGCTCGATCGATTTGCGCAGACTGTCGAACGCCTGGTCATACTCCCCACGACGATACTCAATTTCTCCGTCGAGCATGGCGGACGCCACAGCCAGGAGGTCGGAGCACTTACTGTTGTATGCGCGTCGAGTCTCTGGGACTCGTGTCCGAGCCTTTTGGAATAATTCCCGCTCTTGCTCTGCTTCACCAACTCGCCCCGTCGCTGCATATGCGACTCCCTTGGCATAATGAACCATGGCCGTCTTGACCGTGTATAACTCTTGGTCATAGGGCAATTCCATCTGAATAATCTCTTCCCACATCCCAAAACGTACCATGACATGCACGCGCACGGTCATGAAATTCTCCAGCCAGTCCGCCATGGGAGGCGATTTCATGCGAAGCACCTCCTCTGGAACAGACGCCTCCATACGAGCAACAGCGTCCATAGCAGTCTTGAGTTTTCCAGCGAACATAGCAGCATAGATCAGCGAATGGTAATCATGAAGACGGTAGAATGTGTAGAAATTGACGGCCCCTGCGCGACGCAGGAATTTGTCGTCTGCGAGGGTTGAGTTATAATTCGACGCAATGGAACGGCGCCAGTCACCAACCAAGATATCCAGATGAGTAGGCATATGATGCAAGTGACCAGCATCCGGAACTAGGTCACGTAAATGGTCGCCCGCATTCATGCCCAGTTCAGGGGTGGGAGACATCTCGATATAATGGATGTACAGGTGCAGAAGGCCGGGATGTTGATAAGCACCGTCTTGCTCTAATGCCTGTTCTAGCACCCGCTGTACGTCGGCTGTCGGGGCACCCTTGACAGGCTGGCCGGTAAACAGATCCCACAGAGCCCAGGGGGTCAGATTCATCAGCGCATCCGCATATAGCACTGCGATATCAAGATCACTGCCGTACTTCTCGTACGCCGATTTCATGGCGGCAGCGTATTCTGCGTTTGGTGCCGAGTAGTCGGCCAACGGGGTTTCACTCGGGTAGCGCAATGTAATGGCGTCGGCAAGTGCCTGCTCCCAGGGCGCGGCATGGACTGATAATTCCTTTGCCCGTCGCGCTGCGGCAAAGGCACGTTTTAAGCAAACAGCTAAGTCTTGCGGGTCAAACCGATCCCAGCCTTTATTGTAATTGGGTCCCAGCGCATACGCCAATCCCCAGTGAGCCATTGTACTTGAAGGATCATGGCCAATTGCCTGTTCAAAGCAGTAGGCACCTTCGATATGATTAAAGGCATAACACCAGGTCAAACCACGGTTGAACCATGTTTGTGCATCTGAGCTGGTCGTGGTGATGGTGTGCCCAAACGATCCAAGATCATAATATTCGGTGCTTGCCGGTACAGCAGGAGAATTTTCGACAGAGCCCATTATGATTCGACGATGAAGAGAATGAAGGGAATAGAAGAAGTGAAGGAAAGGGATCCACTGTGCAACAAGATAGAAGAGGAGGGAAGAGGAGAAACTTCGGGGCCTTTTATAGCAGCGCTAGATCCTACCCTGTATCGTCATACCACATCCCGCTTATATATGCAGATTGGCGACATATTTCTCGAGCCCATAAATCGGTGTTTGGTTGGATACGGAGTCAGGTAATAGATATGATTCGTTATGATCTCGAACTAACTATAACCCTAAGTCCGTGGATCCACACTTAACTTCAATCGCCGACTATCGAGTCAATGGAACCATCATGACTAAGTCCAACTAATAAAACTTATGATGTGTTGGGCATGACTCTTTTTAAGGCCGTCTACTATAGTACATCGAAATTACACTTTTGGCATTTTGTTCAGAAGGATGCAATCTTCAGGCACGGTCTAACTATATACCCACTCTGTTTAATAGTCATTTTTACCTAGCCCTAATTCTCGCTATAATACACATGCTCTCGACGCAAATGATTCACACTTGCTGTACTGACTGGTCTGCTCGGTCCCAGTTCAGGGCAAGGTAGCAAAGCAGACCCCTTCAATTTCCCGTGCCATACCGACCACGCCCTCAAAAGCAACATCCGCCCTCATAGACGCACTCAATGATTCGAGACCATGCCGTAGCTCCTCAACCAGCCGCTCGGCATCTTGCACCTCGGAGCCAGGCTCAGGCTGGCTCAATAGGTGATAACACGCCTGCAAGTCTCCCGAAGATAACGAGGTGCGGACCCTTCGCAGGAGCATTGTGAGAGCATAGAAACTTTGCATCTGGCAGCAGGCCATATACGGAAGCGATCGAGGACAGAATCGAGACGTCGACGATCCGGGTAATGCGTCGTTATCGGAAGGTGCATCGGTATAGTATAGATTTGGTGGTGTTAGGTGGCGGAAAACTCTGGACACGGTGAGTGATGATTTCAGGCATATAGCTGCGGATTCCTGCTCGGTGAAAGGGAATGTCGAGTTGATTTTGGTCAACCGACTCGGGGAGAGGGGGTGTGAGGGGTTTAGGAAGTCGATACGGTTGATTGAGTTGAGGCCGCAGTGTTCACCTAGGAATAAGGGGTGATCTAAGAAAGCCCTGAAACGATGCAATCTTATCCGAGCACTAATGTAAAATGAATTAGGATGCCAATTGTTTGCATTGATGAAAAATCATCTGTGTGTGGGCTAGATGGGTAAGAATTTCACCTGTGAATTATGGCACTTGTGATTGCCCATAGGTTTCGAGGAGCGAAACATTCAGCTCCTTGCCGGTTTGTTACACATCGATATCGATCGGACTCAGCGGCGAGTGACGATATCAGAGTGTTAAGCTCACGAACACGATCAAGTAGGGTAGGAGATTGACTAGATTTACTGTCCTCTTTCTCGAGCTCCTTTGCTAGGTTGCTTGTCCGGAGGAATGTATCTTGTGCTTTTGCCAACAATGGCCAGGGCTGGTGTACGTGTAAGTCGAGTATCAGGGGCAATAGCCAACTGGGGGGCATACTTCTAGACAGCCACGGAATACTGGGTACGGTGTGCTGATCCGAGGGTCATCTATGAGGATGATAGGGCACTGGCTTGAGTTAGCTGACGTGTTAATAAAGGGTGAGGATTGGTCAGCTCATGCCCATGTAACTTACCGAATTACTGAGGATCGAAGAATGATAACTGAGAAACATCTGTACCAAGCAATCAGTCTGTGGGTAACGTAACCGGATGTCAGGGCGGGTAAGCTTACCGTCATCCACCAGGCTCGACTTTGTGCATCCGAACAGCCCGATTCATCCGGGTCGGCAGTGTGTATTGATAGATCCACAGCGGTTGTCAGCGCCTGGTTGGCTCGAGCGCGCATCTTCGACAAGTTGCCCCGCTGGCAAAGCTCGTATATGCCGAGCAATACAAGAGCCAAGATCGACTCCAGCTTCCGAGGGAGATCAGGGTGCAACGAGCTCCACCGGGTTGGGCCCTCAGCTGTACTAGTGAGATGCGTTGCCGGCTCGGGAAGATCAATCCAATTTTCAATGCTGCTCATTGCCGCATGTGCATAGAGTTCGGCGTATGACTGACGCGCATTGACTGCAGCTTCAGACATGGAATGTGGATCTTCTGGCAAAGGAAACAGTACGAGGATCGCGGACAAAGCCAACGCAAAGGGTGACGTTGGCCAGTAAGGCAAGGATTCATGATCTGCTTGAACGGTTCGCAGCGAGATCGCAAATGGGCGGTCCTCATATTGAGCAACCGACGGTGGGGGCAACACAGGAATATAGGGATGGACAAAGACATAGTAGGCGTTGACCCTGGCACCACAGGGCACTGTATCAGCTGTGGCCAGATTATAAACAATGTGTGGAAGGTTTCGGCTTCAACGTACAGATCTGCCTCGCATCCATATGCTCTTATTGTGAGTGACCCCAGCTCGAAAGCAGGATTACTGTTTTCATCCGACGCGAGATCGCCGGCAGATAAACCTCTGACATCCTGGATGCTGGCGAATGGATAAGGAAGACCTTGGGTTCCTACTGGGCCCGAGGGCAAGGATGGGGATGGCGTATTGATTTCAGCAATGGCACGCTTCCTTGTCTTGAATGCGTTCCCTTTGCGCGCCCCGCCTCGTCGACTAGGGCGATAGCGGCACTCTCGGCGATTGTTGTAACACTGTTATTCTCTACGTTAAGTCTGTCGAAAAAAATGAGTGCGATCCCCCTTACATTGGTGCAAGGATTCTGCCCATCACAACGGGTCTTGATGGCACGGCTATACAAATCGTCAGTTCAATCAAGATAGATGAAAATAGCAAGATCAACGTTGGTTGACCCACCATGGCAGACATGCCAGTTTCACAGGGGCCTTTATCGGAAGCATCGGAATTTGATCCACCTAGGCAGGTGTGTAGCCTTCTCCCTTGCGTATAGCAGCAGCAGCTTTTATTCTCAGGACTTGAAAAGCCCAATCCCCACCTATCGTTCGAGTTTCTACTGAGCGGGACCGCGCAGTCGCCGATGGTGGGGCATGTCAGAGTCGAGGTGGAGAAATGAATAAGTAGTCCATACTCCTGTATGAAATGAATGATCTTATTCCTGAGACTGTGATTTTGTTAGAAAAGAGTACGTAGCTAAGATACAACTACGTACTTTTACAGACGCTGCACCACTTTCTCCACTCCCACATCCACCGTGAACCCTAACTTCGGCGACCCGGTCTTTGATCTACTTGGCTTGAAGTCAAACGCCGGCTTCCAATCGCCACCCAACGATATTATTACTAGTAAGTCTATAGCTCACTTAAGCACTACTGTTGATATCTGAGTAGTTAGAATTTAATGTATTTCTAAGCCTGCTATATTGTGATTTCCTTTTTGGGTTATCGGCTTTCACTTGTGACTTGGATATATTACTATAATGCTTCAGCCGTCCCTCGGATACAAAATATATACAGTACATACCTATCACTAGCTACTACCAGTATTCTCTTCAGTGATAAAATCTATGCAGACGCCTTCATGAACTCAAGAATAGGAACGAACAACGAAAGTACAATTAACTGCAAATTGCAACTACACATTCACCCTCATCATACACGCCTTGATCCTCACCACCACTAACACACCAAAAAGAAAACAATGTCAAACATCCGCCAACTCAAACGAGCCTTACCCTGGGTCCAAACCCCAATAATCATCAACGCCCCGATGAGTGGCGCCGCAACCAGCGACCTCGCAGTAGCCGTCACCCGCGCAGGTGGACTAGGACAGATCGGTTTCCTAGACAGCAAGCGCTCCCTAGCAGGGCAGCTCGAACGAGTCAAACATGAACTACAAGATATCATGAACACATACAAAGATACCCCGGAGTCTGTACTTCCCGTCGGTGTGGGGATGATAGTCTTCGGTTCCCCGGTTGCGTATTGGCTTTCGCTGTTTTCCAAGTACAAACCGGCGGTGGTCTGGTTGTCGTTCGCTACGACAGACGAACTCAAGGTCTGGTCGGAGGAGATCCGGAAGGCGTCACCACACATACAGGTCTGGATTCAAGTGGGCAGTGTGAGCGCCGCGATGGAAGCTGCTCAGGCTTGTCGCCCGGATGCCCTGGTGCTCCAGGGGAGTGATGCCGGTGGACATGGACATGCGCTTGGAGCGAGTGTTATCTCGCTGCTACCTGAAGTGGCGGATGTGTTGCGGGATCGGGGTATTGATGATGTTTCACTCATTGCGGCTGGAGGTATTATGGATGGGAGAGGTGTTGCTGCTGCGATCATGCTCGGTGCTGCCGGGGTGGTGATGGGGACGCGGTTTCTCGGGGCTGAAGAGACGGAGTTGCCGCATCAGTTTCGGGAAGCGGTTTTTGACGCTTCGGATGGTGGTCAAGCTACCGTGAGATCGAGGGTCTTTGATGAAATGTGGGGACCTAGTCCTTGGCCGGAGTTGTACGATGGGCGATGCTTGAGAAATAGCAGTTATGACTATGTCAAGAGAGGGATGAGTATGAGTGACATGCGGATACAGTTATACCGGGATCTTCAGGAGGCTCGGGGCCAGCAGCTCGATTTCAAGGAAACTGTCACAGTTTGGGCTGGCACTGGTGTAGGTATGGTTAAGAAAAGCGAGAGGGCGGCTGATATTGTTCAGCAAGTGCGGTCTGAGGCACGGAGAAGACTGCGGGATGCAAGTTCTTGGCTCTAGACAAGACTGTTTTATACTCCCTTCGCTATGCACCATTTCACGATGATTCTTTAGAGTACCAAGTCGAAGCTAGGATGCCGTCGATGACACGCCCAAGACCATAAATGCCATTATCAGCTTTCACAAATCCTGTAGGCGGCTAGCCATTCTGCTGGAGAGATGGCTGTTGTTTACCCTGCCCCACCCACATTTATGAATCATTCATGGCTGTGCAGCCTGGTGAGCCTTGACCTCTTACCATCATTCTAGGTCTTTTCATGGGTGAGTAGCCACTTCGAAGGAAGGCTTCGGCGAAAGAGTATGAAGGATAACTGGGTAGAAGGCGGGATAGGGTACCGCTGCTATGTTTGGGTTGATGATGATGTCAACAACATCGATTAATGCTTGTAAAGCGTTATATAGTAGATCAAAGATAGGGCTGTCTGGTAAGACGACCAAAAAAAGGTCGTGCCCGGGTTCGAACCGGGGTTATTGGAAATTAATTTGATATCAAAATCCAAAGTGATAACCACTACACTACACAACC